GGGACAGGCAAAAAAAAAAAGGAATGGGGAGGTGCTAATTCATCAAGCCTCTATGCTGCGTGCTCTACCTCCACCTGTTGGCTGAATCTAACCTTTAATAGACTCTGGAATCGTTTATTTTGATAAGTGGATCATAGTTATACTAAATGACATGAAAAAGTGGAGATATTACAGCATTTGAACATGAGACACACACACAAAATAACTTTCAGTGGTCACAGGACATAAAAATTGCATCTAAAGAATCTCTTGTCAACTTAACAGAGCTTTTCGCTGAGGTAGTTATACTGCATGGTCTTTTCTTCTCCCACAGATTTCAATTCAGGATTAAATTGCCTGTGTTTTGATGTTTCTCGTTTTTATTAGTCTACAGTGACAAAGATTCCAACTTGGGGAAATTGCTTCTAATCCTCACATTGGTTTCCTTACAGCCGTTCCAACAAGCAAACAAAAACAGGAAAAACAAAATCAAGTAAAGGCTGCACTTTTGAAGAAAGAAACCGTATTCTGCATTTGCACGTGTATGACCAGGAAGACCTTAGTTTAACATATGTTTTATATATAGCACCAATGCGTAACCATGGTACCCATCTGAACTGGCTTGCAACATCCTAAAAGGAAACCCAAACAACCCTCAGAAATAGCACAAATTAGCTTAATCTTTTCTTCATTGTGTGGTGTAGGTGTGAACTAAAAACATTTGAGTTAACAGAGAAATATAACTGTCCTGAGTCGAGATCCAGGAGTCGTGTACTTGGACTAAACATTCCACAGAGGCTAAAGCACATCAGTGAAAACACAAGGCTCAACCACCAGAGTGTGTCTAGTCTGTTGTGACGTGGAGGGTTTCAGTAACACATTACATACACTGGACCCGCAGAAAGAATTAGCTTCCTTTTCTGTGCTGACCACAGGAGCTGTTAAACTCACACTGAATTACTGGTTGGACTGATTTAGAAACAATCATTCACTTCTTTTACTGTAAACTTTGAATTCACACAGAATAAAATTGCTGGAGGATGACATGACTTGCCATAGTTATGTTAATATAATACATAAGCACGCACATAATCATTTTTTAATAGACTTTATTTTCACCTTTACAGTTTCCCAAATAAGCATGGAAATTATAATATAGCTCAGTTAGCCTATAAGTAACATTAAAAACTACAAAGAGTGTTGAATGCTTAAAAACTGTTATTTTTATTGACGACCAGAAGCTTGAACCACATCATCATTACCCCTCAGCTGTAAAAGGCTTGTGGGGTTTCACTTTAATTATATTGTTTATCAGTCTTCACTGTCATGGAGGCTAAACTGAAGCATCACTGAAGGAAAAAAGCTTCTTATCTCAGTGCTTTACAACCTCATCACATGATACCAGTGGTTTACCATCTGTTAGCAGTTTTTGTAAGAGAGAGGAGCTGCATTCATTACTGTGCTATCTTGCGGCACTAAAGTACTCTGCGCTGTGTTCAGGGTGTCTCAGTCTCAGGATGTGAAGATCC